GGGAGCTACCTTCGGACAGCTCCAGAAAAGGAATGCAGGGGCACCGCCCTTCATCTAGCTGGCTCCCCGGCCTTTTCTCAAAGATGACATAGTGAAGGTCATGGGTATCCCGCTTCCTGTCTCAGCCCCCGATGTAATGCGCATCTGCCGATGACCCACAGGTTTTCCCTCCATCACACTGCCGTGGGGTACACATGTGTGGGTACAGTAAAAATGGTTCCGGGAAGGCCTGGTCCATCCTAGAGTCAGGTGTTACTCCTGTGTCCCCAAATCCTTCCCGAGCCTGGATGGATCCTGAGCAGGAGAGCAGGGCCAGGTGCTGGGGTGGGGCAGGCCTGCGGGAGCAGAAAGGGGAAGAGAGGGTCGGCCAGGAGCTCTCAGACGGCGCCTTAATGGGGGGGGGGGGGGGTGCTGGCCAGTGCGGGCCAGTATGGATAACCCAGACACACTCCAGTCTTCTCCCTGAAGCTGTGGACAGGCTGGGGGCCTTGTGCTCAAAGGGGCTGCGAGCCCCTCTGCTGAGGGATCTGAGCAGGAGGGAGACAAGGGGCAGAACTCAGCCCAAGAGTCACCCCTTACTGTCTGCAACAGTGAGGGCCGTGGCGAGTTACCTGACCCCGAGCGCTGAGTTTCCTCATCTGGAAAACAGGGAGAGTGTAATTCAGACGACGTTTGCTGTGAGGATCACAGAGGCTGCGTATCAGCAGCTGGCACAGGTAAGGGCCGCATCAGAGAGCGGAGCAAGTGAGACAGAGCTGGGCTTGAAACCCACTTAGAAGCCGTCTGGCCTCGAGCGCGGTGCTTCTCACCTTGGCAGAAATAAGACCAAGCCCTGCCCACTGGGTTACGGTGAGAATTAGCAATAATACAGCCCGGGACTTCCCTGGTGGTCCAGGGGCTAAGACTCTACCCTCCCGATGCGGGGGCCAGGGTTCCATCCGTGGTCAGGGAACTAGAGCCCATGTAGCGCAACCAAGCGTTTGAACCCAGAAACTTGGCACACGCTGCGGCCAAGACGGAAGGTCCCGAGACTGAGACCCAGCACTCCAAACAGGTAGGCTGAATTTAACTAAATGTTTAAAAAAAGAAAGAAAGAATACAGTCCAAGACCTGGTGGCAAGAATAGCACATGGCGGTGTCTGTTATCACCTTCATCCCTGTAAGTCTGTTTCAGACAAAACCTAATTAGACTCTAAAGAGTGCCAGGGATTTCAGAGGCGTTCCATGAATAGCTGCTGCGTGAAGGGCTAAATAACTGAATCTGAACTGTATCAGTGGATGAAGAACACTGAAGGAATGGCCCAGCTGTCTCCTCCCAAGGCAACTTTGCAGCATACTCAGTCCTGTCCTTAGGCTCTGGGGAGGATTCCTGACTCCAGTTCCTTTGCCCAGAGTGTCGCCATCACGTCGCCCGCAGGAGGAGAGCCAGGCTGACTTCCTCCCAGGGAGCAGCTGTGCTGGTTTCTGCCTTTCAGCGGGAAGAAAGGAACTCTTTCTCCAGGGTTTCTGGCCTAGACTCTGAGCCAGCTGCCCTCAAGGAAAAAAGGCTTTGCTTCCCAAGTCTCAAAGTCCCGTTCAGGCTCTGAAAGGGTTAATGTCTTCTGCGAGAGTGATGGGGGGGTGCGGGGAGGGCTCAGGGGCCCTGCCGGGAGTCAGGCCTGGGCTGGGTGCAGGAGAACACCCTGGTCTTCAGCCCCAAGGGTTTGGTCAGCACGCAGGATGCGTCAGGAGCCATGCTGGGTACAGAGGGAGCAGCTGAAACCAACAGAGGCCCGGCTCTCAGGCCTAGTCGGGGCTCAGACATTTAAACACACACACAGTGACAAGCTGTGGCACATTTCAGGAAAATAACCGAGTGCTCTGCAACAGGATAAAGAGGGACAAAGATAAATCCACAAAGTCCCTGCCAGTAACCCCAGGCACGGGCACAATGAACACATCCGTGCTGCTTATGACACAGAAAATCTGTAAGCAGCCTTCATGTCCAACGGTGCAATGGACCGAGCTGTGTCTCCCCATCCCCATTCATGGCATCTGGTCCCACCACTTCATGGCAAATAGGTGGGAGACAGTGGAAACAGTGTCAGACTTTCTTTTTCTGGGCTTCAAAATCACTGCAGATGGTGATTGCAGTCATAAAATTAAAAGACGCTTGCTCCTTGGAAGAAAAATTTTGACTAACCTAGACAACATATTAAAAAGCAGAGACATTACTTTGCCAACAAAGGTCCGTCTGTCAAAGCTATGGTTTTTCCAGTGGTCATGCTTGGATGTGAGAGCTGGACTATAAAGAAAGCTGAGCACTGAAGAACTGATGCTTTTGAACTGTGGTGTTGGAGAAGACTCTTGAGAGTCTCTTGGACTGCAAGGAGATCAAACCAGTCCATCCTAAAGGAATCAGTCCTGAATATTCATTGGAAGGACTGATGCTGAAGCTGAAACTCCAATAATTTGGCCACCTGATGCGAAGAGCTGACTCATTGGAAAAGACGCTGATGCTGGGAAAGATTGAAGGCGGGAGGAGAAGGGGATGACAGAGGGTGAGATGGTTGGATGGCATCACCGACTCAATGGACATGAGTTTGAGCAAACTCCGGGAGTTGGTGATGGACAGGGAGGCCTGGCGTGCTGCAGTGCATGGGGTCGCAAAGAATCAGACACAACTGAGCGACTGAACTGAACTGATTGACCCCCAATTCACATGTTAAAGCCTCGATGGTCCCATCTATAGTAGGGGCATCACAATAGGATCTACTTTATGGGGACGTTGGCAGGAAGAAGGATTGGAACTCAGGCCTGACTAATCCCACAGTCCTGCTCTTAATTAATGAGGCAAATGCTTTGTTTCAAAGCCAGAGAAAATAAACAAAAAAACCTCCATATATGTTAAATAGACATTTCTCCAAAGATATACAGATGGTCAAAAGGCACATGAAAAGATGTTCAACATCACTAATTATTAGAGAAATGCAAATCAAAACTATAGTGAGGTATCACCTCATACCAGTCACAATGGTTGTAATCAAAAAGTCTACAAACAATAAATGCTGGAGAGGGTGTGGAGAAGAGGAAACTCTCCTACACTGGTGGTGGGAATGTTCATTGGTTCAGCCACTATGGAGAATAGTATGGAGGTTCCTTAAAATATAACTGAAAATAGAGCTACCGGAAAACCATAATTCGAGAAGCTATGGGTGCCTTCACGTTCATTGCAGCACTATTCACAATAGCAAGGACATGGAAGTAACCGGAGTGGCCACTGGCAGAGGAGTAAAGAAGATGTGGTATACACATATATGTACACAATGCAATATTACTCAGCCGTAAGAAAGAATGAAACAATGCCACTGGCAGTGACATGTGACATGACATAGATTGTCATAATGAGCAAAGTCAGACAGAGAAAGACAAATATATGGTATCGGTTATATGCAGAATCTTAAAAAAATGGTACAACGAATGTATTTACAAGACAGAAATAGAGTCACAGATGTAGAAAACAAACGTGGTTCCCAAGGGAAGAAGGAGGGAAGGATAAATTGGGAGACTGGGATTGACATATACATACGGCTAGATGTAAAACGTGTAACTATTGATAATAAGAACCTTCTGTGTAGTAGAACCTACTATATATACAGGGAGCTCGACTTACTAGTCTGTGATGAGTGAAATGGGAATAGACTCTAAAAAGGAACGGGTATGTGTGTGTGTGTGTAACTGATTCACCTTGCCGTCCAGCAGAAACTAAACAACAGCGCAGATCTAGTGTACTTCAGTAAAGCTCCTGCTCCCCCCAGATCCCCAGCACGCCCCCTCTGGCTGTTGCGTCTGGACCCGTCCCTCTGCCCCTCACCCACCGCCCCACGAGCAGGCAGAGCCTGCAGCAGCTGCCCACACCCAGGGCTCTGTGATGAGAGGATGCCCCCGCGGGTGCAGGGAACGCTGGCTTCCAGCTCGGCCACACACTGCCCGTGGCGCCTTGGGCTCACCCTCTTTCTTCTCTGTGCCTCTGTTTTCCCTTCTGTAAAATGGGCAGTGATAGTACAATGAGCCTATGTGGACCTTGAATTGCAGTGGGAAGTAGACGTGTTAAAATCTGAAAAGCGCACGTTGCCTGGACGGGCAGGTGTAAATGTGGCACGGGGAGCAGGCTGCCTTTGGTTCACCCTGGCCCTGCCACTTTCCAGCCATGTAACCTCTCCGTGACTCAGTTTCTCCCTCTGGAAAATGGGCATGATAATGGCGCCGACCTCAGAGAGGCTCTGTGAGGATGCAGTGAGGGACTTGCAGTAGAACCCACCTCACAGGCTTGCCTAAGTGAGGGTTTCCACATGAAGGCCAGAGAAAGATGCCCCACACACAGAAGACCCAGGAGACCGAGCCGTCATGGGGATGACCCAGTCTGGGTGACTTGTCCCAAACCTGGTTAGACTTTTCTTTTTAATCCGTTTTATTTTATTGTTTATTTTTAACCAGAGTGTGACTGCTTTACAAAGTTGTGTTCGTGTCTGCGGCACAGCAAGGCATCAGCTACACACACCCCCTCGCCCTCCGGAGCCTTCTTCCCGCTGCCCCTCGTCGCTCGCCCAGGCAGGCAGAGAGCGCGCAGTGAGCCCCCGAGGCACGCAGCGGCTCCCGGCAGCCGTCTGCTCCCTGAGCGGGCCTGCATGCGCCAGTCTTAGCTCTCAGTTCGTCCCCACGCCCCTTCCCCCGCGGTGTCCACACATCCGATCTCCACGTCCGCGTCTCTGTTCCCGCCCTGCAAACAGGTTCATCAGTCTCATTTTCCCAGGTTCCATATCCGTGTGTGCATATGTGACACTTGTCCTTCCTGGATCCTCTGTGAAGGTGTAGCCCGGTCTGTGACCTCAGCCTCGCCTTCTCCTCTCTGATACCCTGTTTGGAACAGAGAGGCAGGTCTGGGTGGACCCAGGTGTCCGCAGCTCCAGGGAGGGATGGGGCGGGGGGATGAGGCCTCAGACCTGCACCCTCGCTCGCAGGCTTCCGAAACCCCCAGCTCTTGCCGGGACGCTGACCGAGCCCGCCTGCCACCAGCCCTGGCAGCAGTGCCAAACCCGGGTCCCGGTCCTGGGGCAGCTCCAGGACAGAGGAGGGGCCGAGGAGACACCTCGGGCCCCAGGGGAGGAGGGGCTGAGCCGCTGGGCCACAGACCGCAGGTGCTGACTCACGGCCTCCGCCGGCGCTGGGCGGATAAAGGAAGCAGCCTGGGGCTTCCTGAGCCGCAGGGACGCAGCACGGGGCAGCGATGGCCTGGGGGACGGTGGTCCACGTGGCCCCGGGGCAGCCCACCCACGCCGTGTGTGTGCTGGGCACCGAGACGCAGCTGGACGTCTACGGGTGAGCAGCAGACGCCCTGTGCCACGGGCAGCTCTGGGGCTGGGGGTGAACGGGTTCTGCGGCCACACAAGGGGTCTGGCTCAAGCTTCAGGCTCCAGCCTCTGTGGCCACTGCCGGGGAGATGCCGAGAGCCAAGATCCGAGTGGCCCTAGGATTCTCCTGGGCTCAAGGCAGTGGTTCATCGCCACAGACAAGCGGGGCTTCCCCAGGGCCTCACCGCAAAGGAAATGTAGTAGGGCAAGCAGGACCACATCCTTGCACGCTTGAGGCCATGGAGCTCAGAAAGGGTCCGTGACTTGCCTAAGGTCACGCAATATGTGGATCCTGGAATCAAGTCTGGTCTCTGGATTTCGCGGCCCCAGCCTGGTTCCCCTTGCATTGTGTTGCCCTGCACTTCTCAGCCAAGCCTCCCTCCGTGGGTGTGTAATAGCACGGGTGTGACGGGACAGGTTCTGGCCTGGAGCGGCGGAGGCAGAGACCTGGCCCTGCTATTGGTTAGCTGAGATGCCTTGGGCAACTGAGCCTCAGTTTCCTCATCTGTGAAATGGGGATTATACCCACTTTGTAGGGTGCTTGCAGGGATTGAGTGTGAAAAACTTGAAAGTGTTTGCTGAGTACTTACGACAGTGCTGGGCCTGCAGTTGGTAGTTGTTCTTTTGTTCATTCCTTCACCAAATGCTGATTGAACCCTGATTGTATCCAAGCCCCGTGCCAGGCTCTGGGCACGCAGGGTGGTCTGAGCCGCTCGTGCTGGGCACGGCTGGGCCGTTGCTGTGGCCAGTGGTCACAGTGCCAGCCTCTGGCTTCCGCAACCGCAGGTGAGCACCTGCTTCGAGAAGGTGCCCAGAGGGCTGTTTGGCACATTCCCTTGAGTGTCGCTTCCTGAAAAGGGGCAGCAGATGTCTGGGGCCTCCCGGGGACACGGAGGCTGGCAGCAGGCCGAGAGGGTGAGGACTGGGGAGAGGAGGCCCGCCGCCATCCGGGCCACCCTGCTCCGGGGGAGGCTGTCCGTCGGGGAGGCCTCGAGCTCGGGGCTCCAGCCCCGCTGGCTCACACGGTCGCGGCTGATCCTCACGGCACGCTTGGCACACAGCTCAGTCCAGCCCCTGCAGGCAGGCAGCGCCGCCCCGTCTTACGGAAGAGGAGGCTTGTTTTCACATTTTACCTTTCCGTTGTCCATTTTTTCTACGTAGACTTTTTCTCTGTACTTGCCTTTTTGAAGGCAACTGGCGGGACAGGAGGAGCCCGGGGGCCAGCAGCAGCGGGCCGGGCCCCGCCTCACCGTGTCCGTCTGTCCGCCCCGTCTGTCTCCTCCACAGCTCTGCCCCCAAGGGCTACACATCCTTCAGCATCACCGCCTCCCCAGGAGTGGTCGTGGAGGTCGCCCACAGGCCTCCAGCCAAGAAGAGTCCCACAGGCTCGTCCCAGTGGCCCCTGGAGCCCGGGCTGGACGTGAGCCTGAAGCTGAGAGCGGCCAGCGAGAGCACCGGCGACCAGAAGGTGAGGGCAGCGCGGGGGGCCGGGAGGCGGGGCGGCCAGCAGGTCCTCGCAGGCCCGTCTGTCCGGCATCGACCCGCGGCCTCAGCCACTCTCAGAGCCTCCTGACTCCGGCAGTGCTCATGACAGCTTGTTCCAGCCGTAGCATCCTCACATTGAGATGTCAGGGGGTTACGGAGGTCAGGGTTTTCATTAAATGTATTCATCCAGCAAATGTTTAATAGGCGCCTTCTCTTTGCCGGGCACTGTCAGACCCTGAAGATTTTAATGAACAAGAAAGGTGAGACTGCAGCCTCTGTGGTGCTTACAGCCTATGGGCGGAGGATCACATAATGTTAACAACTAGGAACGTGCTGCCCGCTGGGAAACTCACAGTCAGGCAGCCGCAGGACACTGGTCTCGCCCTCTTATTATCTCCATACGGCTGCTGTAACAGAGGACCACACTTTTAAAGCAGCAGAAACACGCCCTCTCACGTTTCTGGAGGAAGAAGTCTGAGGTCAAGGTGTCGCAGGACCACATTCTCTGGAATCAGTTCTCTGAGGAGAGTCGGTTCTTTGCCTCTTCCAGCTGCTGTTGGCTGTTGGCAGCCCTAGACTGACAGCCGCGTGGCTCCCGTCTCTGCCCCGTGGCCCAGACCTGCTCAGTCTCTCTCTGCCTCCTTCTTGGCAGGACACTCGTCACTGGACTTAAGGCCTATCTGGATAACACAGGATGATCTCAAGGTCCTTAATTACATCCGCAAACATCTTTTTTTTTTCTTTTTTTTCCCCCAAATGGAGTCACCTTCACAGGATCCAGGGATTAGGATGTGGACACATCTTTTGGGGAATCACCATTTGACCCGCTGTACTCACATTGACTATAGATGGATAATCAGGACCCTCCGGAGGTTCTCATACACAGATCTGGGCCAGTAACCACTTGTTCCCAGCAGGGGAGGCCAAGCAGTCTCTCCCCGGGGGCAGAGAACTGTTTCCTGTTGTAGGAACAGACCTTGGGCATCAAAGCTGGTCAGTGAGTGAGTAATCAGGGAAAGCTTCCTGGAAGAAGCGTCAAGCTGAAGGGTGCTATGAATGACCTATTTAAGAGGGGGAAAGAGGAACAAGAGCTCAACGTGGAGGATGTGGCCTGAGTGCACACTCTGGATTAAGAGAGGGTGAGATGTGTGTTGGGGAAGCAGAAAAACGCTTGTATGGAAAGAAAGAAGGGTGGAGAGAGAGAGCCAGTGTCAGAGGGTTTGGCATCCAGGACCTCTTTCTCTTGGGGCAACAGGGAGCCAACGGGAACCTCTCACCCAGGAGCAGCGAGACCGTGTATGTACCTTAGAAAGACCCACTGGCTGCAGTGGAGTGAGTCAATTAGATCTAGGCAGGGCGGCCAGTCAGGAGGTGGACGCCACGGTTCAGACGCAAGGCGACGGTAGCTGTGACGTTTCTCTGGGTGCCCGCCATCGACAGGGCAGGTCCAGATGCCTCAGTGTGGCCCCCGGGAGCCCCGCTTCCTCTGGGGGCAGCCCTTGAGTTTTGCTCTGGGGAACTGCTCTCCATCATCTTGCTTCGCAGTGTGGTTCCCCTGATGCTCGGCCAGGCGGGGCGGATCGGATTGGTTCCTCCTGGACGTGGAGCCTCGGGGGATGGGGGTCGGTGTTTCTTGACCTCAGGAGCACCCGCCCTGAAGAGGCCAGCCCCCGCTCAGAGCCCCGGCTCCCCAGTCTTTCAGAGTCTGCTTCCTCAGGCCTCCCCCGCCCCGAGGGCCGGCGTTCCCTGTGGCTGTCGCCCCAGCCTCCCGCTCACACCTCCCCCATCACACCCCCAACCGCTGGGCTCTGCGTTCCCTCCTGGACCCCCTCAAAGGGAGGCTCCCCGACACCGGGCAGGCAGAGTGCGCCCTGGGCCCGAAGCACCCTCTCCTGTGCCTCACAGCCACTTGAGTGTGTTTCTGCCCCCCCAGTCCTGCCCGCTGGGGCGTTCCCAACAGGCTGGGGGCCCCACCCTTGTCCCCTTGGCCCCCCGCTCCGAACCGGCACTGAACAGGCCGCTTGGTGTTTGCTGAATGACTAAGGACGTCACTAGTGGTCCGCCCCCGTTCCGCAGGTGCAGATTTCATACCACGGACCCGCGCCCACCCCGGTGGAAGCCCTGCTCTACCTCACAGGGGTCGGTAAGTGACGCCCAGCAGCTCAGAGCTCAGCCCCCTCCCCTCCACACATCCCGCGTGGGAGAGACTGCACCCCGACGCTTACTTGAGACCAAGCGGAGAAAAGAAGAATTTCTAGACAGCCATACATCTGGCAGTTCATAAGTGTTCCTCCCCCAGTCAGGGAACCACAAATACCGCTGGAGATAGGGCATTTGCAGGGAGGTTCAATTACATCTCAGTATTTTATTTCTCAGCTTAGGAATTGGCATGTGGATTTTCTACATATGAGTCTCTATACCTTTTTGAAACCTCAAATATTTATGAGGAAAATATATGATGATACTGTCTTACACAATAATATAGACCAGTATCCCCCAAACGATTTACATCCCACCCTCACCGTTTTTGCCATATCAGTGATCTATACTCATATTTGTTTAGTATTCTTCTTCAACTAAAGTATGCTTTAACTTGCCCTCATTTTAGACAATAATATCATAATACCAGCATTATTTAAATGTACACTAAATATATGAACAACATGTGAAGGTTTCATTCATTTATTTCATAATAAATGTCATTTCCTTATTTCATTAATAAATATGAATATAAATAAATTTCATTAAAACGCATTTTAATAATTTTATCATCATTTAGCACTTACTCTATGGCTTCCTGGTGGCTCAGACGGTAAAGCGTCTGCCTCCAGTGCGGGAGCCCCGGGCTCGATCCCTGGGTCGGGAAGATCCCCTGGAGAAGGAAATGGCAACCCCCTCCAGTGTTCATGCCTGGAGAATCCCATGGACCGAGGAGGCTGGTGGGCTACAGCCCATGGGGTCGCAAAGAGTCGGACACAACTGAACGACTTCACTTCACTATGCTGGACAGGGTGCCAAGACTTTACGTTTAAACCTTGCAACAATCCAATGAAATTGCTACTATTATTAGCCCATTTTACAGGTGAAGAAACTGAGGTACAAGAGGTAAAGAGGCCTGCCCAAGCTCACACAGCTGGTTAGCAAAGGAGCCAGGACGTTCTGGCCACCGAGCGCTGTGCTCTCTGGCCCAGCACTGGCACGTGGCTATGTGCATTTTATTTTATTTTATTTTATTTGGCTATGTGCATTTTAAAAGGTCACCCAGGTCAATCTCATTCTGTGATCTCATGAGGTCACTGCACAATTATC